GAGACACTATAGACCCTCTACAAAATACATTAAAACAAACAAACAAACATTTTTGGGGTACTTGGAACCGAACTCACAACATCACAGATAGGCACTGTGCCACTGAGTTATATCCCCAACCTAATACACTGGGGTTTTTTTGTTGTTGTTGTTTGTTTTGTTTTTTTGACATTGATGTAATTTATTTATTTTTATTTTTTTTACAAAATCTCAAAACAAGATTTTAGGAGAGTAACAATGGTTAGTACATTGTGTATTGTTACCGCCAAAGTAGTTTCTCATATTACAAGATACAGGCAAGAAATAATAAATAAACAACATAGGTACAAACCTCTGTGTTTTTTTTTTAAGTCAACAGAAAATGGAAATATACTTTTTAAAGTTTCTAATACTAGGAGAAGATATCATACAATACACTGTTTTTTTAACAAAGCTGCAAAACATATTTGTAAATCATGCATCTTACAAAAGATTTGTATCCACAGTATGTAAGGAACTCTCAAAACCAGTAGATGAAAAATTTAAGCACACATTTTCAAAATAAAATCATAAGAAGAGCCAGGTGTGCTGGCACATGCCTGTAATCCCAGCACTTGGGAGGCTGAGGCAGAAAAATTGCCTTGCATTTAAGGCGAGCTTGGGCTACACACTGAGCTGAAGGCCAGCCTAAAGTACCTGGTGAGACCCTGTCTCAAAGCAACAGATTTGGGGGGCCTGCCGGTTGGCTCAGTTATTTAAGTGCCTGCTCATGCAAACATAGGCACAGGAGACCGTGGTTCGATCCCCAGCTCCACCTGTCTTACCAGACAAGCCCTTAAGGCAGCCTGAGCCAGGAAAACAACAACAACAAAACCCCTCAAAACAACAAATTAAAAAATAAAAAATACTCAGTAGAATAAGCACTTCCCTGGCAAGCACAAGGGCCTGAGTTCAATCCCCAGTTTCACCAAAAATAAATAAAATAGAATAAAAATAAAAAAATAAAAACATAAGGCGATACAATTATATACCCATAAAAAATGCTACGATTAAATAACAAAAGCAAGAATTGGCAGTACTAAGTACTGGTGAGGCTACCATGCAGCCAGACACAAAGATGCAAGTTAGAGTCTGGAATTCCATTGTGAAACACCAAGTTTGGGGTAACAGTTAACTCTTGAGGGATATAGGTGAGTGAACTAAGAGAGCTATGCATAAGTGACTTCAACTGTATGAGTAATGGTTATTTTTTGTACTGTATGGAGGGACAGACATTTAATATATTTTATTATATTCATATGTCCATAATTTCTATATATCTATCTATATCTATAGATAAGATCTATCTATCTATATCTGTATCTATATATATTGTATTTGTTTTATTATTTTTTGAAACAAGTCTTGTTGTGTAGTCCAGGCTGGACTTTAACACACTATGTAGCCCAGGCTGGCTTGAAATTCATGGCAACCTTTCTGCCTCAGCCTCCCAGGTGCTGAGATTATAGATGTACAGCACCATGTCCCACTCCTAATACTTTTTTTTTTTTGGTCTTTTTGACAGGGTTTTGCTATACAGTTTAAGCTGGTCTTAAACTCTCTTTGTAATCCAGCCTGGCCTCCATCTGCAGTGGTCCCCCTGCCTCAGCCTCCCAAGTGCTGAGATTGCAGGCACACACTTTTTGAAGTGGGTCGACACACCTGCTTAAAATTCATTCCCTTAATGCTTGTCAAGTCTGAAATGTTCCTGTCATCCAGAAATCTAATTTCTTTTTCTACTGAGATTTAAGCCTGCTTCTCCTATGTTGGTTTTGGGGAAGTCTCTGTCCAGATTGGCCAACTCGGCTGTGAAAGTAAGAAAGTAGCCACAGAAAGATGCGTGTGCTAAGAATGGGTGTTTGTGCAAAATTTTTTTGCAAAAAATGAGCTGTTTATAGTATGGCATTACGATTTGGGTCTAGACATCGCCCCAAGCCTCATGCGGTCATAGGTGGGGATTTTTTAGAGGTGGCTGAATCTAGTCCAATGCTGGGATTAAGGGTGTGTAGTGCCATATCAGTGCACTGAGATTGGGCACTGCACGAATCCTGGTAGCCCGGATACAACATGAGAGAAAGAAGCTTGTCATCTCCCTTGCTTGCTTGCTCTTGCCATCTTCTGCCTGCCATGCACTGTTCTCGGTGATGCCCCTCTGCCATCCCACCTTGCCTCGGAGCCAGCCGATTGTGGACTGAAACCTCTATACACTGAGCTAAATAAACCTTTCTTCCTAGAACTTGTGTCAGGGACTTTGTCACAGCAACAAGCAAAGTAATTAAGACATCTGCCCTAGAATTTAGTTTAACTAGGACTCACACACCACAGGGTGGAGCTGCGGCTCCGCTTCCACGACCTGCAGCTGATTCACAAGTGCAAACATGCCCCTGCCTCAGCAGGGGCAGTCACGCCCACATCTTAGAAACCCTGACTCAGAAACCCGCTGTCCCATGCCAGCTCCACAGGGGCAAACATTAGGGAGAAGAAAAACCAGATGGGGTCTGGTGTGTATTTCAACTGTGAAATTAACTGCACTATTTCAGGAATACCTAGGGTAAAACCACCTTCCCATCTGCTTGTTATTTTCATAATTAAAATGATTTTAGGGGCCGGGAAGATGGCTCAGTGGAATAAGTGTTTCCCTGGCAAGCACAAGGGCCTGAATTCAGTCCCCGGTTCCGCAAAAAAAAAAAAAAAAGATTTTAATGTTTTACCTTTTATGCTGGGCTTTAGTATACAAAATTTAGAATATTTATTGAACATCTCATATCAGCTTTAAAAACTGGTATTTTAAAAATGGAATCTAAACCACCTGGCTTCCTCTACATGGAACACTAACCCAGAAAGTCACAGAGCAGCCTCTCTGGCCAGCAGCAGCATGGAGAAGGGAGGTCATCGGTAACTGAGTAGAAGGGAAGCCTGAACCCGCAAGCAGGAAAGGCTTTATAGGGATTTCCACCTGGGGGCCTGGTAGAAGCAAAGTTCTTGCCCCACTCTTTCCATCTTTTCCCACCTTGCTCCTGTACCCCCAATGCCTAACTCCAGAAAACTCATCTGTAATCAAGAATTCCTTCAGATATACTGAGCTGCAGACAAATGGACCAATAAAATGGCAAAAAAGAATCAGAATTAGATGAAAGAGATTTACTCCCGAAACTGATATACCATTTTAAAAACAAAGAATTTAAACCTCAACAATCATTCTCTGCAATTTAACATGTTCTATTTACACTGTTCTTCTGATAAACTAGTTAAAGAGCTAAAGATTCTCCAAAGATACACAAACTATCTCCAAAGATATACATATACATGGCCCAGGAGCACATAAAACCTCAATACCTTCAGGGAAATGCAATTCAAAACCACAATGCACCATTTTGCATATGCTAGGATGTCAAAAAAAAACAAAACAAAACAAAACCTTCCCCCCCCCCCCCAACCAGGAATCAGGCCCTTGCACTTGCCAGGCTCCACTGAGCCATCTCTCCGGCCCCAATGATGTCAAAATTAAAAAAAAAAAAAGAGCTGGGAGAGTCACTCAGGGATACAACACTGGCTGAGAAAGTGGCTCTGTTTGATGGCCAGCACTGAAAAAAATAAAAAACAAAACTGACAAGTGTTGGCCAGGACGTAGAAGAACCAGCACCCTCTTGCCCTGCCAGGGGGATCTAGAACGGCACAGTTGTAGTGGAAGGCAGTCTCTCAGTCTGTCAAAGCTAACCCAGGAACCACCTCGTTTCAGCAATGTCTCTGCTGGCTGCGTATCCAAAAGAACAAGGCCAGACTCAGGCATTTGTACACCAATGTTCACAGCAGCGTAATTCACCATAACCAAAAGATGGACAAACCCCAAGTGACCCAAACAAATGAATTAATAAACAGTATGGATTACATGGATACCATGTCACTAAAATGAAATTTGAGCTAGACATGGTGGCGCATGCTTCGGATTGTAGCACTCGGGTGGGTGAGGCAGGAGGAACTGCTGTGAGTTCGAGACCAGCCTGGATTACAAAGTAAGCTCAAAGCCAGCCTGAACTACATAGTGAGACCCCCTTTTTTTTTTGCCCCCGCCCAGAGACCCTGTCTTAAAAGATGGGGGGAAGAAAAAGGGCCAGGGAGATGGCTCAGTGGAATAAGTGCTTCCCTGACAAGCTCAAGGGCCTGAGTTCAATCCCCAGTTCTGCCAAAAAAAAAAAAAAAAAATTGATATATATTAGAAAGGAAATGGACCTTGAAACACTATACCAAGTGAAAGGAAACAAAGAACAAATATTTTATTTATTTATTTTCTGGCGGTACCAGGGATCGAACTCAGGACCTTGCACTTGCTAGGCAGGTGCTTACGCCACTGAGCTATATCCCTGGCCCCCAAAAGAACAATTATATAATTTCACATATATAAGACACCTAGAGTAGGCAAATTCAGATAGAAAGCAGAATCATGACTCACAGAGGCTGGGGAGGGGGAGAACGGGAGCTACTGTTCAATGATAAATGACATTGTACCTGTACTCAAATGCCACAGAGGTACACACTTAAAATGCTTATGATTAGGGCCGGGTGGATAGCTCAGTGGCATACATGCCTGCCTGGCAAGAGCAAGGTCCTGAGTTTGATGCCTGGTACCCAAAAAAAAAAAAAATGCTTATGATTATTTTATGTACATTTTACCACAGTAAAAACTATCAAACCACAATATGTAATTAAGTGCTTACTAGCCCATGGCACTGTGCTCAAGAATAAATGTGTTTATAGAACCCATAGGGATTTGTTCCTCCTCTCGCATAGATATTAACTTAGGCAGCTGGGGACTAATATCATCCCTGCTACAGGCCGTAGCTCACTTCCACTACTATCAGAACAGCCTCTTCCAAAACGCTAGTAAAATTTCCAGGGCCAATACATATCTCCTTAAAAAAAAAAAAAAAATTCAAATCTTTTAGGGGCTGGGGAGATGGCACAATAGAATAAGCACCTCCCTGGCAAGAGCAACGGCCTGAGTTTAATCCCCAGTCCAGCAAAAAAAAAAAAAAAAATTACGTATCTCCTCAATCAGCTTAAGGGACTTAAGACACATTAAAAACAGCATATTTTATCTGTAAGCACACAAGGAACCCAAAACTTCTCCCTGCAAGAATTCTCCTCACGTAGAATCAAGTATATTGGAACCAAGTTGCTTCTCCTGAGATTGTCATGACCACGAATCAAAACACGCACCTGAAAGGTAACGGTTTTGCATTCCGTATCCTCAAGGCCAAGACAGCACACCCTGCCTTCTGCTTTTAAAGGACAAGCATTTCACTATGCCCTAAACCCACAGAGCATTTCACTGTGATGTGGTTCCTGTTGCCTCTCACCATTCTTCTACATAATTTGAGATGAGGGACTTGTACAAAACATGCATTACATGAAGTAGGCTCAGTATGAAAAGTAGAATTCTACAGCTTATCTTACAAGAAAAGTAAGTTCCAGGAGCTTTTATTGTTTGAATAACAGCACACATAAAGCCAGCCCGAGAAGTCCCCAGGGAAACGAAGGTCACGTTTCACTGTAATTTGCCCTTTGGTCCTTCATCTTCTAAGCACTTACTGCATTTTCTTTTAATGATATTAGACATCTATTTTGATCACAAATGCAATCCAAGTGTGAATAAATAAATGTAGTATCTTCTATCCCTCTTCATGTTTCTTTAAATAGAAAAAGTGCTAAAAGTCTCTTCATAGCCTATTTGGCCACAGTTGTCCCACCTACAGTTTTAAAAACAGACTGTAACTTGATCTTCTAAAACCCTTTTTCAACGCAGCTCATTCTGATGAGAAGACCCTGGGAGTCAAGTCCTACTGATACTGCCGGTAGTCTCCAAAAGGTGAAGGTGGTAACTGGGCTGAAGGCAACTGGGAGGGATCTTCCGCAAACTGAGGGCCTGCGATTGAAAAAAAAAAGGTATAAAGAGAATCTGGTATCATATAATTTAAAAAAGGTATGTCTCCATAGAAGGTAAAGCAATTATCTTGAAAGCGCAAGGGCCTGAGTTCAATCCCTGGTTCCGCCAAAAAAATAAAATAAAATAATTAAAAGTTGGGGCTGGAGATTTGGCTCAGCAGCAGAATGCTTGCCTAGCAAGCTGGAAGCCCTGGGTTTGGTCCTCAGCACCAAACACAAAAATAAAATTAAAAAATAACAATATAAAAGTATTTTCACAAAGTTTAGCCATATTTTTTTTTAGTTTTGTCTTAGTAAGTATTCTAAATTGGCCTTAAACTCGAGTGATTCCCCTCCCTCAGTCTCCAGAGTGCTGGGATTAGATATGCTCTACTATGTCTGTTTCCTTAGCCATATTTTAAAAGAATGAAATAATCCAATTTACAGAACCAATTAGGTAGAGAATGAGCTTTGAAATGGGAAAATTCAGCCTAGGCTGCTACAGAACAAACAAAATTAGCTTAGTTTTCAAACTCAGAGGACTTGGGAGGCTGAAGCACAAGGACTGCTACAAGTTCAAGACCAGCCTGGGCTACAGAGATACTCTGTCTCAAAACGCCATCCCCCAAAGGAGTAGAGGGGCGGGTGGGATGGCTTTTAGAAGACTTTTAGAGGAATCATTAATCATTTTCCTCTTTAAGGAAAGTAGACAAGAACAGTAGACAAGAACATATCTGGAAAGAAGAGTTAAAGATGGCGCACAGCCATAAGCCCAGCAATGGGAAGGATTACTGCTCTTCTGTAGCCAGTGAGGTTAAGTCTAGCCCTACACAGCAAGACTCTGTCTCAAAACAAAAAACAAAACAAAACAAAAAAAAAAAAACAAAAGAAACAAAGAAGAGTTAAATTAGTGCTTGGCATGATGGCACACATCTGTAATCCCAGAGCTTGGGAGGCTGAGGCAGGTGGATTGTTATATGAGCAGCCTTAGCTACAAAGTGAGCTGAAGGCCAGCCTGAGCTGCATAGTGAGACCCTGTCTCAAAAACACCAAAAAAAAAAAAAAAGTGTACCAATGGTAAAATTCTCTAAAGCTTTCCAAAATACAGCACTCTTAACAATATACTTTTTTTTTTTTTTTTTTTTTTGTGGAACTGGGAATTGAACTCAGGCCCTTGTGCTTGCCAGGCAAGCGCTTATTCCACTGAGCCATCTCCCCAGCCCCAGAACTTTTGGCAACAATATACTTTTATTTCACTACAAAAGCTCATAACAGAAAGGAATGAAAAAAGATAAGCCAAAGCTAACCATTATTACCATTAAGTACAGTTCTAGCTACCCTTTTCTCACTGCTTTAAGAACTTTGTGTAAGTTAATTGGAAAAATATGATTGACTTTTCAAAGATGTCCCCCTAGACAGCTTTTTAAAAGAGCCACCTCTCTTGGCTAAAATAGGCCTATTTTTAGACTGCTTCTGTATGAACGGTGAGTTTTGATTAGTAAAAACAAAAGAAAAAGACTTAACACAGAGTAACCAGGGCTAATTTCTAAAAGACGACATAACTAAGTCTTTGTGTATTCATTTTTGAACATATGGAAATCTTTGGATGTTCCATGTGAAATCCTTTTCCTTTTTGTTCTGGGCCTTCTTAATGAGCTATATTCTAGTCCTTTTAAAAATGTTTTCGGGGCCAGGGAGTTGGTTTAGTGGAATAAGTGCTTCCCTGGCAAGCGCAAGGGCCTGAGTTCAATCCCTGGTTCTGCCAAACACACACACAAAACACACACACAAAAATGTTTTATCTCAAGAAAGAGCTGTGCTAAGTTAAGTTGCTCAGCTGGCCAAGCTGTGTTCGACCTTGTGACCTGGCCTCAGCCTCTGAGAGCGCTAGGATCGCAGACATGCGCACCACGCCTGCCTGCACCACACCTGCCTCCGTGTGAAGTCCCGCACACCAAGAGGACCAAAACAAACTAAAAAAGCAAAGTTATAAAGTAACTGTCAGAGTGCTAAACTCAGAGGTAAAAAGTGAATCTCTCATACACACTCAGGGCAACCAGATCAAATCGGAGGCCTAGCCTATTCCTGTTTGCTGAATCTCTTTTTGTCTTTTGAGACAGGGTCTCGCTATGCAGTTCAGGATGGCCTTGAGCTCACTTTGTAGCCCAGGCTGGTCTCGAACTTGCCACAGTCATCCTGCCTCAGCTTCCTGAGTGCTGGGGTTACAGGCATGCACCACCATGCCCAGCTCTATGAACAATCTGTTCCCAGTCCACAGTTAATTTTCAATACATCTCACTGCTCTACCTATTTCCCTGCCCAAGACCAGCTCAAGTTTACTACTGTATCACATCTTTCTGCCTCCTCCACTATCAAGGAATATATTCACTGAAACAGTGCAACTTTTTGACAGTTAAAACTGCATACATCAGCAAGTTCTTTTGTTTTTCTGTTTGTCTAATTTTTGAGACAGGGTGTCACTATGTAGCCCAGGCTGGCCTCAAACTTATGGAAATCCCTGCCTCAGCCTTCTGAGTGCTGGGATGACAGACATGCTTTGCCACGCATGGTTTAAGCTTATGGCAGATGAATATCCAGTCTATAATTTTACTTTTCCCCTAGGCATCAGACAAGAGGAATAATTAGCAACAAACTACCGACCTCTCAAAGACTTTCCTGTGAACCCTGAAGTGATCCCCCAAACACAAGTCACTTCCTCCCACCATTTTCTTTTTTTTCACCACTTTATTTCTTCAAAGCAAGCAACATCATTTGAAATTATCTCACAGACCTGCCAATGGGTTAGTCTTGTGTTATTGAACCAGAAACCAAGTCCGTGAAGGCAGGGAATGTCTTGTTCACTATTTATCCCCAGCACTGGGGCTGGGGAGATGGCTCAGTGGAATAAGCACTTGCCTGGCAAGCACAAAGACCTGAGTTCAATCCCCAGTTCTGCCAAAAAAAAAAAAAAAAAGGGGGGGATTTCCAGTCCAACTTTTCTAAGGAGTCTCCATACTGATTTCCATATTTATCCCCAGCACCTATGACAGTGCCTGGCATGCACAGACGGGAGCCAGTATGGTGGTGCACTCCTCAGCCCCAGACTCAGGTAGCTTAGATGGCTGGTCTTTGTTTGAGACCAGCCTGGCCTACAGGGAAAGTTCTAAGCTAGCCTGAACTAAAGAAAGAGATTATGTCTTAAAAAAAATAAAGGCAAAAAAAAAACCAAAAAACACCCCAAGTTTATGGAAAAGTGGGCACTGAAAACACCTAAGATCTATAAAGTGTCCAATGGCAAGTACTCAAATATTTCTGTGACTAAACATGGTCATTTCACCCATGTTCACTTTTCTGACTAGAATCCAAGTTTATTATCAGTCTTTATGAACTACACAGCACGTTCATGCCTAATGTAGAAATTGCAAACTACACCATTTTAGCGACAAAATGTTTTTCTTAACATGCTAAAACCATTCCAAAGTATCCAAGCTATGGCATTAAGCAGAGAGAAGACTCACCGTTGGGAAATTGTGAAGAGGCAAATCTTGTCAACAAGATACCAGCTCCTTCGATTAAAGCTAGGAGAATGCCACCCATCGCAGCTGACCCGACCATGGCCACCGGTCCATCTGAAGACATCAGAAACAAAGAGGTTGCTCTAAAGGAAACGGCTTCTACGCTGTACATGCTCCTCTCAACCCCACCTATTTTCTTACTGTCTGACACCCACAGTCGGCAAACCACAGCCTGAAGATCAAATCCAACCCACTGCCTACTTTTAAAAAATAAAGTTGTAAGGGAATACAGCCATGTTCTTTAATTACGTTCCTCTGCGGGGTATTCTCCCATGGTGACAGCAGAGCTAACCCACTGCAGCAAAGATCGTACAGATTAAAAATATATTCTAATTTTTAAATGTTTTTTCATCATATTCTGTGGGGACTTAAAGTTCAACATATCAATACTTGATGAAAAATAATTGTTCCATGTTATGCCTAAGATTTTGTTTTTGTTTTTGGCAGAACTGGGGATTGAACTCAGACCCTTGCGCTTGCCAGGGAAGCGCTTATTCCACTGAGCCATCTCCCTGGCCCCTAAGATGCTTGATATTCAGACAGATGGTGAGGTTAAGCTTAACAGCCTAGGTTGTATGGTAATAACAATAAGCTTGTCTTCTGGAGGGTTAACAACCTAAGTTTACAGACCAAAATTAGAGAAAAAGGAGGGCCACAAGGAAAGCCAACATTTTAGCCCTAGCCTTCCAAGGTCAATTAAGACCCAGGACATATGAGAACTTGTACTGTAATGTCACATAACTCGGTAGTGTCCCAAATTTTCTGATCGAGGAGATTATGGGGCCAAAGAGGAAAGTGATCGATGATGTAGAGTGTGCATAAGGAGAGTCACATGGAGAGGAAACATTCTCTCAGGCTTTCACAGAGAGCACACTGGCCAAGCAATGGCCATGACTCATCCACATGGCTGACACTGACAAAGGATCTACAATCTGAGGTACAGGATCTCAGGATAAATCCTGAGAGGATTTCATTGACCTTATCAGACCCAAAAGCTACAACTCTTGTTGCATAGGTCCTGCTTTACTTTGGTCTTAACCGTCCAGCAGAAAAGTATAAAAATGAAGTATAAGAAGTAAAGCCATGGTGTTATGTTGAGCTGTAGGGGACTCAGGTCAACAATTTCTGACACTGCCAGTGAAGTGGAAGACCCAATACTATTATGGACTACTGGACTCTTTTGGAATATTTTGCTGAGTTAACACACCTATAATATTCAAATAACAAAACTTAACAAAAAAAGAGGATACAGATGAATGTCCATTTTGTATCTATGTATTCAAAGTAGTTAGGCTAGATATATAGTTACATTCTCTTAATGAATAGAGGGATTTGTTCTAATAGTGTTTGTAAATAGGATATCATGTCTGCATCTTGTACAGCAATTAACCACTAAGAAGAATGTATGCAATGTGTTAATTATTGAAACTGTCCTACCAATTTGGTTTGAAACTGTCTCATTGCTATCTGTTTCTCAATAAAATTATGGAAAAAAATAAAATACACCCTGGAGGGACCAGGGGGAGATTAAAAAAAATATATATATATATAGAACAGAAAGCCTAAAATACAACTTGGCCTTCTACAGAAAAAGTTTACAAACCATTGATCTAAACCACTAACCTCAAATGAATTGTTTGCTGCCTGTCCCTAAGATTCAGAAGCCAGGTTTAGACTCTTTACTCCTAGCAATCCAATGGGGAACGTGTTACCAATTCTAGAACACCGATGGAATTAAGCACGTAAAATCCGGCATACTTCCCAGTCACACAGTTAATAAAAGGCCCAAACCAGGCCCCCGGAAGTGCTCCTAAGCACTGTGCACAAGGGCTAGTGCTCCAAGCTCTCTCCTTCTCCAACGTTCCAAGCATACAGCCTCCTTAGTTCTTTCCAACCTCCCACATGCACTCACGCTATCCCAACCAAGCCACACTCAAGTCTTATTACAGATATCATTAGGGCTAAGACACCCAAGGTGTTCCCAGCGGTCGGCTCCCCCAGCCCCTCTACAAGGGTGGCTTACTTCTCGCTGCCAGGATGGCCCCTGTCAAGGCACCACTAGTGATGGAATTCCAGGGGTCTTCTTTGCCTCTGACTTGAACCATACTACAGTCAATCATGGAGAACAGACCTCCCCAAATGGCAAAGCTACCTGTTGTAAAAATTAATTTAAAAAATTAATAAAAATTAATTTAAATTACACCTCGTTTCTAATGATATCCAAAAAAAGGAATAAAAAGAAAGCCACATCTAAAAGAGGCTGTAAATGTCTAAAAACATGTAAATCACCTTTTAGATTTTTATACCGTTTTAGAAACAACACACATTTAAATTACAGCAATAATAAAAAAAATCAAATCATTCTGTCTTCTTTCTTCTTTTATAACTTTACTTAGCTTTATTTTTTCTTTTATTCATTAAGTGGCACAATCAACCTGCTTTTTGAAAATCAGTAATAGAAAAATAAAAGAAATCCAGCTATTTTGGAATATGCTACAGGTATAAACCAACACAAACTGAAGTAGCAAATGAATATGAATAGTTAGAACTATGGAGGGCTGGGGAGATAGTTTAGTAGAATAAGCGCCTGTCTGGCAAGCTCAGGGTCCTGAGCTCGATCCCTGGTACTGAGGGGGAAAAAAAAAAAACAACAACTGTGGAAAGTACTCCTCCTTTCTGTCTTTATTTCTCAAGGATACATCTAAAAACTTTAAGAGGGGCTGGAGAGATGGCTCAGTGGTCTAAAGCACCTACTTGGAACAAGCTTGGCAAAGCACAGGGACCACGGTTCGATCCCCCAGCACCACATGCCAGTCAGCCGCGCCCCCTGGTGGGCTGAGCTGGCCACACACACACACACACACACACACACACACACACTAAATAAATGTTACAACAATAAATAAAATAAAAACTTTAAGAAAGCAGGTTGTTTACTTTGTACTCTACCTAAATGTGAAAACACTTTGTAAAGTACAACAAAAACACACATACATACACAAAAACAAACGAAATTTAGTAAAGACATTAAGATTTTCACTGTCAGCATTTCTGGGTAACAAAATTATGTGTGTTTCTCTATGTTTTCCAATTCTAAAATGAAAAATTAATACTCAAAGTCCTTTTTTTTTGTAGAACCAGGGATTGAACTTGAGCCCTTGTGCTTGCCAGGAAAGCGCTTACTCCAATGAGCCATCTCCCAGGCTGAATACTCAAGTCGTACATGACATAAAAAGCTATTATATCAAACAAAGTAAAAAAATAAAAATAAAAACTGCATAAAAAAGCCCCAAACATTTCATTCTTTCTCCTCTGACACCACAGGGTAGTGGATAACTAGATACACTCACTGGGTCCCACCCAATGTCTCAACCAGAACCCGCAGGCTCTTCTTCCAGGGCTCATGTTACTAGCTAAAGGGAGTAGACACGACCTCCTCAGTAGCTTCATAGCGCTACCATAGCATACAGCTCCTAAGTTTTGGCCCATTATCTGATATCTCAAACTATTTAAAAAGAAAAAAAAACAAAAAAACCTTACTCCGTAACCTACTGTCTCAGGAGGGAAGTATGACACCTAGCTGCATTAGAATTACCCTGCTGAATTGATTTCTCTCTCCTTTCCTTTCTCTAGCACCCTTTTCTCTGGTGCTGGGAATTAACTTAGACTTCAGACATGCTCAGTGAGTATTCTACTACTGAACTACATTCCCAGGCCTAAATTCTTCATTTTGAAGGAATGACAAGTAGTCACGGCCCATGAGAATAATCAGGTGTCTCCAATTTGACTACATCATTGTACATGAATGTAAGTTCCACATTTTCTGTCATTTCCTGCCTCCCAACTTCTGAGAAACCAAGTTTTGTAAGTGCAATGACCACAATCTTTTAAAAGCTTGCACTCATCTCTGCAGTGTCTAAAAGCTATCCTCGGAGGAAAGCCCAGTGGCTCAGTTCCTCTCTATGAGAAAACTTAACCTTTCAGTTCTTTTCTGCTTTATTTGCCCCAGACACTGTCATTCCTGACCTAAAACATGAGCTTTAACCACTCTGCCTTCCCTGGATTGGGGCTGAGATGGGAGAAATCCCTGAATATCTGAAGGAAACGGACAAGATTCTCAAATGGATACATTAACTCAAGTCAACTTCCCAAACGAGCCATAAATCAAGAAGAACCTATAGAGCTATTATTTTCTAACAAGCTATTAGATCAAACTAAAATCACTAACTGGTACATATAGTCTTAAAAAAGGAAAAAGAAAAATTTCATCTTCAAGCAAATTGGAGCACAAATGGAACAGTTCTACCTACCTCCCAACTGTGGAGCCCTGGTTTTAATAGCTGTCAAACTCCCTCGAAGTCTGTGGTTTACTCCCTGTTACAAAAGAGCAACTCAAACTTTAATCAATAGACATGCGTAATATTTCTAGCCCCCGATGGAGCCACCAGAAATCTGATCAGAACCCAGTTTCCAGATGGTAAAATAATACCAGCCACCTGCTTACCACTGGAGAATTTCGAAAACCTTTGATAGCTTGAAAGATCCCGCCGCCTATGGTGCCCATCGTAAAGGCTCCACCGCAGTCATCCACAATTCGCCAGGGGCTGCAGGAGGGGACAAAAAGGTGATCTAGTTCCCATCAGAAACCAGAAAACCTTTCTAATAAAGTGAGGGCTGCAACAGATTGTAATACAGGGCTCAGTGCAACTGATAAACATTTGGCCTATAAAATGTAGACAGATAACGGATACTGAACACAGCCCTATCTATTTGGCCCCAAGTCATCTTAGCTAGAAGGAATGGAAAAAGAGTTAACTTCCAAATGCATACAGCACTTGAGACTTTCATTTAGCAAGTACTGTATCCGTTTTTAATGTCTGTTAATAAGTCTTGCATTAGACAAAAGCAAATAAACAAGTATGCAGGAAATTACACAACAATCAGCAGTGTTGATTCTGTCTTCTAGAGAGCAGGATAAGCCCTGTAAGCAATCATAACTTTTAAGGCTCAGACCCAATGAAGATTCCACAGCTACAGATAAAGACAAATTTTAAAAAGTCTCTAATTCTTTTCTGGTTCACTGAGTTCAAGTAAGCATTTGAAACTAGCCTGTTTTGGAAACTAGTTTTGATTAGATCTATTTAGTACACTGGAATAATAGCCAATAATTAAAAGTTAATTTGTAGCACTAGCTTCCAAATGTAGCAATTGGACTTCTGTAATACTGAAATCTGAATGCTGTGATTAGTAGAACAGAACCACTGTTTGAGTCTGGCTTATAAATCTCTGCAGGGATGAGGATGTAGTTCAGTCCTGGAGTGCTCGCCTGGCAGGCAAGAAGCCTGCCCAGAGGCCTGATCCCTAGCACTGAAAAACACATTTAAAAAAGAAAGAAAGAAAAAGTGTGTTAATAAATTTGCAACTCATGCCAAGTAGAGGAAATTTCTTTTATCTGGTCTCGAAGGACAAGCACTATAGTCAGGTTGGCTATGGGGAATCTACCTGCTCTTAAACCTATAAACCCCAGGATTACACTGCCTGACAATCTAATTACAAGTAATTTTTGTAATGGAAATACAAAGTGAAGACTCTGTCAAACCTTTTCAAATTATAATAGTATATTACTCTTTTGTTTGATTTTTGTTTAAGGGTCTCACTATGTAGTTCAGGCTGGTCCCGAACTCACTATAAAGCTCAGGCTGACTTTGAACTCACAGTAATCCTGCCTCAGCCTCCTGAGTGCCGGGATTACAGGCGTGTACCACTATGCCGAGCTCATTATATTAATCATAACCTTGTATAGAAAGACCACCACACACAGCAGATATTCTAATTGTTAGTGAGATGCTTTGGGACCTTCCTGCCCCTAAATATGGTCCTAAACTGGGCAACAATCACCACCTGGAAGCAGGAGTTTTTGAGCTTGAAGACTCTTGGGCCTTGCCAAACATGCCAAGCAAGCATTGTACCACTGAGCTGCACACCCAACCCCGGAGTCTACACTTTAACACAATTCATAAAATTCTTTTCGTATTTATTTTGCTTGCCCAAGCTGGCCTCAAACTCACTCTTCCTGTCTCAGCCTCCCAAATCCTGGGACTATAGGCATGCACTTCCATGCACAGCTCAACAAGTGATTACACTTTAAAAGAAGCAGTGCAAATAAATAAATAAGTAAATAAATAAAATAAAGCAGTGCTTGGAAAGACTATACAGGCTTGTGGCAATGTCTTTAAAACAGCACAAACATTAATAGACAGTAAAGAGGGAAGGCAAAAAGCGATGAATGTGTGGCTCAGGCTATGAAGGGAGCCAGTGACTTTCAAACTGGACAATGACAAAGTTTTATGGTTACAGTGGTGCAGGAGAGGACAATCAAAGAAGCTTCTATAAAGGCATACCAAGAAAAAAAAAAAAAAAAAAGGAATAGGAGCTTACTAAATGCATGGTTTGTTTTCTAGTATAGGGTAGAAATGGGGCTACCTTGTGAAAACTCATTATTTTATAAGATCTTTAACTTCACCAAATTACTTCATTGCCCTGCTAATGTGTATCATCACTGTATATCTAACAGCAATTTAAGGTGTGCTGAGCCCGGCAGATTCAAGCACAATACAGGAAGGGAATAACTGGCTTTAAAAAGAGTTCGAAGTGGGGGAGGAGCTGATGCATTTACGTTTTGGGAGAAAGAGGCACAGTAGGCAACATGGCTACTACTGCTAGCAAGGCGATAACTTACAAGTTCTGGACATTTCCACAATCGAAGGTACCTTGGCTCTTGCTCTTACACAAAGGAATAGTGATCCAAAAACCAAGATTTGATTTTTCATTTATGATCCCAGAAACCCAGAATTTCTAACAGCTGCATATGCGTGTATATGCCCGACTTCTTTCATGTTTTTAATCCTTCAAACTGTCCTAACACACAGCCCTCACGCGATCCATGCTGAATGCATGAACTTTTGTTCGTGGTCTTTCAGAAAACACAGCCAACTATCACTCTTATGTTTTCAAGATATTATTTGCCTCCCTCCTACCCCAAGGGAGAATTCCAAGTAAGAAAATGACTCCTTGGGTGAAGTCTATATTCCAATCATTTGAGATGCCTCACCCTGCGGACACGGATCACGACTCAAAGCCTCCAGAGCTATACTCGCAGGAGCCGCCCGTCTTCCCTTCCTCCAACTGAGCAGAGGGGCATGGACGCGCCCAAGGTCACCTCAGCCGGCCGAGGGGACTTCCACCGACCCCGACAAGGTCGACATGGCCTTACGCGTGGAGGAGGCCCCCACTCCGTCCGGCCCAAGCCTGGACCTGCTCTCCGTCCACTGCAAAGTCACAGGGTGCTGGGCTAGGGCGGTGCAGAGCTAAAGAAGTCAACTGGCCGCTCACGTCCCCGCTGCCGGACACTGCCAAGCCCAGCTCGATGAGCCTGCGGCTGAGTTCGGCTTACGTCTCGGGAGACTGAACCAGGAAACGAGGGCCAGGCAAAGATTTAAAAGAAAGGCAAGGACCGCGGATAAGGCTCACCAAGGTTCTCGAGCATACTCCTCCATCTTGACTTCCAGCCGCGTGAGCAAGACCGGGTGAGCCGGGCGGAAACTGACTTCAGTGGCGGAAGTGAACCCGAAGGCGGTCCTTAAGGTCTGTGGGGATTGGCTAGCCGTTTCCCCAGCAGCCAATGGGAATCAGGACCCGGGAGGAATGGTCGGCGTGTGGGCGGGGCTGACCACGCCCAGGTCCTCGAGGCCCGCATATGGGCTGCGTGAGCGGGGAGCAGCCGGCGGACAAGATTAGCATTACCCAGGGTCCGAAATGAACCTGGCGTTATCCAGCAACTATCTGTAGCCCCCGGGTCTCCGACGCTTGTGGTCACAGCTCCTGGAAACGTAAAGGCTCAAAAATGTTGAGCTGCTTGTATCTACTTGCACTTGCTGCTGGCCGATCCTAGCCAATTTGGGGCCCTCGTTTTGAGGGACTTGAGTTTATAGCCTCTTCTGCGCTGTCCGCCCAAAGATCAGCAGGTGATGTGAGGGATATACTTCCCAGAGAAAAGGGACTAAAAGGATGGGAACCCATCTACCCCTTTTCAGAGCTAGCAAAACTCAATCATGCCCTGACTTCATGAAGAGAACTCTTCTCCTGCACCTGTTTTGTTTTGTTTTGGGACAGAGGCTTGCTATGTAGCCCAGGCTGGCCTAGAACTCACAGCAATCCTCCTGCCTCAGTCTCTTGAGTGTTGGGATGACAGGTGTTCGCTACCACGCCCGGCTCTCCATTGTGCACCTTCGTTTTTAAAATATGTGTAGTGGGCCAGGAGATGGCTCAGTGGAATAAGCTGTTCCCTGGCAAGTGCAAGGGCATGCGTTCAATCCCTAGTTCTGCTAAATAAATAAATTAAATAGATAAATTATATATATATATATATATATATATATATATATATGTTGTATTATGGAAAATTCAATGTAATGGATAATAGGAGACTGCAGTGAAGGGGAAGGTTTGCTCCAAACACTTGGAAATAATGTAGGCAGATGAATTGGGCCTCCAGAGCACGAAAGATTATCAGAGAAAGTGTCTTGTATGTGAGAAAAATAGTTAAGATGCATCATTTCATTTGGCTGTGTAAATTCAAGAAAGCCTGCTCAGTAGAATAAATGCTTCCCTGGCAAGTGCAAGGGCTTGAGTTCAATCCCTGGTTCCGCAAAAAAAGAAAAGAAAGAAAGAAAGAAAAGAAAAGAAAAAAAAAGCCCGTTTGGGATGTGTGACTGTAATTAAGGACAGTTTTATTAACTCTACAGGCTGACCAGAGGCTGCAGGAGAGGGGTGACCTGGAGCTCAGAAGGAGACTTAGCAAGAAGCCGATGTTCAGATAGCACCTAGACCCGATGCATAAATATTTCAGTAACTAAAGATTTGACCTCTTATGGGCATGGAGGGCAAGAATTTTTTTTCATATCTCACCAGGAGCCATGAAATATCCCTTAGCTCTAGATACCTTCTTGTGTGTCTTGAAGGATCTCTACGTAGTTGCTAAGGACTTCACACAGTTGGTGACAAATTGTATTAGTTCAGTTGACAGAGCAAGCACTTATTCCATATTCATTATACAATCTGATTCTACATCTATGACACCAGTTATTATTCCACATTTTCATCATTAGTCAAAACTCTTATTCCATATTTATTTAAGCAATCTTTTGATTATTATGTGGCTTCTGAGTAGGTTTCTATACAGGAGTGAATGCCCAGGCCTGTCCTCAGAACTACTCTTGTCTACCTGGCAGTTAATACTGATTTATGTGCCAGGCATGGTGGCACACCTGTAATTCCAGCACTCTGGAATTTTGGTCCTCATCTTGGTCCAAGAAGTTTATGTTTGTAATTCCAAAAATACATTATTGGAATCCCACCATGTTAATTCCAATCTACCACTTTCAGTGCAACACATGGTGAAAATAAAGACCCTAAAGCATATTTATAATTATGGGGAGCCAAGGGGTCCTATGTCCAGTCACAAAGATGGCTTTCTGGAACAAAGGCCTCATTCTAAGGCTAAACTCATTTTATTCAGTCATGAAGGAGGAGTGGCTTGAGGATGAATGACTGAGAATTGCAGGAAGTAGGTGAGCACTGTGAGCTGGGCTAGGGAGGAGGCCTGCACTTACCTTTGCGATATGCAGAGAGCAATCTGCATTATACTATTGAGATAATATCTAATGTTTTGGGGTCCAGTGCTTTAGCTCTGAAGTGTAATCTTTCAAGCCCCAGGAAGTCATAGCTTCCATTTCAAGGCTCGATCCCAGCTGACAGCGTGAAGCATTGGCTCTTCATCCTTTCTCGATCTGGCTTATATTAAAGAGCTGCACATGTGGATTATCAGAGAAACATGCATGCTGTCTTGACAGACTACCGTCAGCGCCTTGGCTAGACCAGTATGCATTGCTTAAAGCCAATTGAAGGGGTAAGGAAAACTCCAAGCCAGCTCTGTACATATCAATAAATGAAAATAGGGTCAGGCACAGCCAAAATGGAGACAACTGTTCTTCTTTCAAGGAGAGTCACCCAGGTGGTCCTCCACAGCACCAGGGAGGCCGAAACAGGAAGACTGCTGTAAGTTTGAAGCCACCCTGGGCTACAAAGTGAGTTTAAGGCCACCTTGAACTACATAACAAAACCCTGTCACAAAAAGACAAAAAAAAAAAAAAAAAAGCTTATACACCTGCCTCTTGTGAGCTTGGTTCCTTTGACTCAATCAGGAATAGTCAGAGTTCTCCAGAGGATGAGTAAATACTAGATATCTAGAGATAATGAAGAACTGACTCTTTTTTTTTTTTTTTTTTTTTTTTTCCAGAACTGGGGATTGAACTCAGGCCCTTGTGCTTGCCAGGGAGGCACTTATTCTACTGAGCCTTCTCCCTGGTCCATAACTGACTTATCTTAACTGTGGAGGTTGTGGAGTCCCATGATCTTCATCTGTGTGCTGGAGACCTAGGAAAAACGCTGTGTAAATTTATGCAAAGTCAAGGGCCAGCCAAATAGCTCAGCGTATTAAAGTGCCTGCTTAGGCAGAGCTCAGCAGCCAGAGTTCAATCCCTGGCATGCTGACGTGCTGTGCTGGCCCTGCCCCCAGGGTGTGCTGAGACAAAGATTGAGACTGGGCATGGTGGCACTCACCTGTAATCTCAGCTCTTGGGAGGCTGAAATCAGAAGAATCACTATGAGTCTGATCTACTTAGTGAGACCCTGTAGACCCTGTTCTAAAAACAATACAAAACCAGACAACAACAACAACAAAAAAGTCAAAGGCCCAAGAACTAGGGAGGCCAATGATGTAAATCTCAGTCTGAAGGCAAGAGAAGGTGAGATGAAGTGTTCCAGGCCAGTAGGGAAGCAGAGAGAGTGGGGAGAATTCTCTCTTCTCCACATTTTGTTCTGCACAGGCTCTCAGTGGTTGGGCACTGCCTGATCACATCAAGAGACAGTCTACTGAGTCCACTGGCTCAGGTGCTGTTTGTATCTGGAAACACCCTCACCAATAGAAAGTGTTTAATCTGGGCGCCCTGTGGCCTACTCCACTTGACATAAAATTAGCCCTCATAAAAAAAAAAATATATATATATTCGCCTTCATAGTGAGTTTATGTTTACACAGCTGACTCTCAAGGCTCCCCACATTCCTTACCCTAAAGGAGTGCGCCCCTCTGGTGGGAGCCCTGTTCATGTTGGCCAGCAGCATTCGCAGACTTCTCACCTCCTACTCTCTTAACTGCAGCAGGTAACAGGGCACTATGGACTGGGAAAGCCTGGGACTCAGGATTTGTTAGACACACGTGTTACTTCTCCCTCTAAATAACCATTTCTGCTGCACATCATGAGCTGGAGCTACTCAGGAGGCTGAGATGGGAAGAAGGAAAGTTTAAACCCAGTCAAGACAATTTAGCTGGGCGTGGTGGCGCACAACTATAAGCGCAGCACTTGGGAGGCTGAGGCAGGATTGCTGTGATTTCAAGGTTAGCCTGAGCTACACAGCAAAGCCTTGTCTAAAATAAAACAAAACAAGAAAATTTAGTGAGAATCTGTATCAAGGCAAAACTTTTTAAAGAGCTGGGAGGCAGCTCAATGGTGGAATGTTTGTCTGGCATGTGCGGACCCTAAGTTCAATCCCCCATCCTCCCACAGATACACATGTACACACACACACACACACACACACACACACACACACAACCCCCAATTTCCAGGGTGCTGAGTGAAGAAATGTTTGGAAGAAGAGACACACACTAATCTAGTGAGGTTTCCTTTGGTTTTTTTGTTTTGTTTGAGACTACATTTTGCTATGTAGCCTGGGCTTTCCTCAAACTCTCAGCCTTCCTGCCTCAGGCTTCCCAGTGCTGGAATTACAGGATGCACCACTGCACCTGGCCTGGTAGTGAGTCTTAAGCCAAAGAGACTTTGGTGGCTTTCACTGAAGGAATGTCAAAGGCACAGAGGAATAAAAGTCCTTGAGCCCATAGAGTGAGGGGCGCAGGATGTAGTGATTCAACACTGTAGGGCATAACTTACTGAAAGCTAGTGTTCTGATCCCAAACTAGGATTTTTGCTGGAACCACTTGTGGTCTAGGTACTGATGGGAACAGACATTTTCCAAATCTGCCCTTCTCAGCCCTACAGTACCTGTGAACCTAAAGACTCCAGGGGCCTGAAGAACCCCCATCTAGGAGGAGGACACAGGCCTTGAATGTGGCTCCACAACTCACAGTCCTGCCAGGTCCAAGTCACTGAGAAACTCAGGTTGCCCGAGATAAGCAAGACTGGGACTCCGCCAGCTCTGGGGCTTGGAGCTTGCCTGAGACTAGGGAGGGTGTCTCAGCCTGGCCCGGAGGAAGCTGGAAAGGTAATCTCTTACCTTTTTTCCTGTCCTGGCTGTCCTGTCAGGAGGACATCAGTCTGGCCTGTGTCTGTGCCAGACTCTCCCCTGCCTGCTTCTGCCTGCTCAGGAGTTCCAGGCCAGGCCAGGGACTGGTTTCCAGAGCCAGAGCCTGCTGCTTTTTTCTAGAGAAACCTCACAGCGCCTCAAAGATGAGAGTCAGTGTGACAGTTTCTGTCTTTTGTGGTCTCACACACTCTGGCCCTTTCTGCACAAGAATGTGTGTGTGTGTGTGTGTGTGTGTGTGTGTGTATGTGTACACATGTGTACAGCCATACAGAGGTCACATTTTTGGACGATGTTTGTTGTAATTCTGATATTGTTACACTGTTACACTTTGCTTGTATTATCTTATTTAACATACTACATAACACCATGACTGAATAGTTACTCTTTTCCCTTTAGTTTAATACATTTTTTTCCTCCAGTTTTGGGGATTAAGCTCAGGGCCTTGTGCATGTAATACAAGCACTATACCACTGAGCTACATCTCCAGCCCTCAGGTAAATACTGTTTTAACATCCTCATATTCCCTTTCTTATGGCTAGAGAGGTTAAATAACTTACCCAAGGTCAGAGGTTTCAGATTTGAGCCTGTGTCATTTGACTCCAGGGCCTATAGTCTTATCTGCTACCCTATACTGCCACCCTATATCCTTGAAAATGTGACTTGCCTGGGGTCATACAGCCCCTTGGAGAGCCACTAAATGTTAGCTAACCTGCTTCTGGGCCCTTATAGTCCTTTTCCCACCCCACTAAACATCTTCATGGGACTTGAAGCCTCTTTCCCTTTTATTCTCTCCCCATCTTTCCTTCTTTCTTCTTCCTTCCTTTCCTTTTTTTTTTCTTTCTTTTTGCAGTACCAGGGATTGAACTCAGGACCTTGTGCTTGCCAGGCAAGTGCTTATTCTACTGCGCTATCTCCCCGGCTTTCCCCATTTTTCTGGACCTAGCAATGCTAGCTTTTCTCAAGGATAGACCAAGCCAGAATCCCTGGTTCCACTGGCATGGTGGTGCACACCTGCAATCCCAGCACTCGGGAGACTGAGGCAGGAGGATTGCCATGAGTTTAAGGCCAGGCTGGGCTATACATAAGCAAGTTCAAGGGCATCCTCTACCACATAGCAAGACCCTGTCTCAAAAGCAAACAGACCAACAAGCAAATTCATGTGATTTCTACTAGGCTTTCAATGATTTCTTATGTCTCTTTGCCTAACAGTAGAACCATTTTCCCCTCAATAAATAGTACAGTTTAAAGAGAAGAACAATGTTGTAATTATTTTCATATCCCTCTCCCCATGGTACCTGGCAGAGTAAAATATGTATATATATATACACACATATATATATTAGCAATATATATTAGTTTCTGAATATATATTTCTGAGTAAATACTTGAATGAGCAGATGGGTAAGAACCAGGTGAGAAGATGTGTGTGTGTGTGTGCGCGCGCACGCGCGTGTGTGCACACACAGGTACATTTTGAAGGAAACAGACAAAAATGAACAGGAACAGTAGGCTGGAAAGAAAACCACCCAGGCTAAGAGTAAGTGTAAATAATTATAGTAACTGCTAATAAGTATATCAGTCAATTTATATATGTTCACCTTATATCAAGTCAGTGTTTTCATGCGTGTGACAACTTAATGTTCACAATAATCCTACAAGGTGGGTACAGGTGTTGTTCTCATTTTACAGATAAGAAACACGAGGCTGGGGAGATACCTCAGCGGCGTAAGTGCCTGCCTGGCAGGCACAAGGTCCTAAGTTTGATCCCCAAAACAACTAGATAGGAGGAAAAGCCAATTCTCCTAAAGTCACATGGACAGTAAGCAGCACCACTGCAGCCAAGATGGCCTGCTGGCCTCCAGAGCTCAGCCCCCACCTGTGCAGCCACGCTGCGATCCAGCCTCCTCTGCTGTATTTACCTAGAGCCCTTGTACTTCTTGTTTAGGGAAATTTTTAAATATTCAATTATGTAATAGATTGCTTGAAGTTATTAGTTTAATAACCTCCAAAATGGCAGGGACCACACAGGTTTGTATCTTTAATCACATGTCTAGCCCTCAATAGTTCCTGACACATCATAGGTACTCAGTAAATATCTGCTTACTGATTGACCAACATATAATGACTGACTCTTAAGAATGAACAGGAGGGGTGCCGGGGAGATGGCTCAGTAGGATAAGTGCTTGCCTGGCAAGTGCAAGGGCCTGAGTTCAAACCCCGGTTCTGAAAAAAAAAAAAAAAGAATGAACCAGGAGCCAGACATGGTGGCCCTCCTGCTTCAGCCTCCCCAGTGCAGGGGCCATAGGCATATGCCACCACACCTGAGACCTAGTTCACTTTTAAGAACCAGTGATCGGTGGCTGGTGAGATGGCTCAGTGGTCTAAAGCACCTACTTAGAACAAGCTAAACTAAGCAAAACACAGGGACCGTGGTTCAATCCCCCAGCACCACATGCCAGCCAGCCCCGCCCCCTGGTGGGCTGAGCTGGCCACACACACACACAATAAATAAATAAATATTAAAAAAAAAAAAAAGAACCAGTGATCATGTGTGGGTCAACAATAAACATATATTTATTAAGTACCTATGATGTGTTGGGAACTGTTGAAAGCCCAGCACTTGAGAGGTTGGTGGAGGTGGGTGCTGTGAGTTCGAGGCAGCTTGGGCTATGTAATGAGACCTTGTTTCAAATAAACAAAAACAATTAATAAATAGAATGATTTGTTCTAATGATGTTTGTAAATAGGATCTCAAGTCTGCATCTTGTACAGCAATTAACCACTAAGAAGAATGTATGCAATGTGTTAGTTGTTGAAACTGTCCTACCGATTTGATTTGAAACAGTCTCATTGCTATCTGTTTATCAATAAAACTATGAAAAAAAAAAAAGAAAAGAAAAACCAAGTCCCAGCATCTGGGAGGCTGAGGCAGGAGGATTGTTGTGAGTTTGAGACCAGCCTAGGCTACAAAGTGAGCTCAAGGCCAGCCTAAACTGCATAGTGAGACCTGTTTCAAAAAAGATAGCAAACAAAAAACTAAGATGGCAGATGTGGTGGCACACATCTGTAATTGAAGCACTAGAAGGCTGAAGCAGGAGGATTACAGTGAGTTTGAGGACAGCCTCAACTACATGGTGAGACCCTGTCTCAAAAAACAAGCAAACAAACAACCTCCCAGGGTTCCCTAACCCCTGCTCCCATCTGTCCTCTCTGGTCTTCCCACCTCACTTTTGTTCTCCAATCCCACCAGTCAAAACCATGCCCCACCTCAGCCTCAACCTAAAGCTGGACTTGTGTGCATTAAATGCCATGGCCAAGTTTTAGTCCCAGATGATCCCTGGACTCAGCAGATGCTGATCAAGTGACTGGCTCTCTCTGGCTTGGGATGGAAAGATGCCAGGAAAGATCGAAGCATCTACCCTGATGGGTTACACCAGGGCGTCTGGAAGGGATTTTATGGCAAAGAGGGAGGGGAGCAGGAGATTGAATGTCACTGTGACTTGTACAGGGCAGCATGATGGACGAGCAGCGAAAAGCCCTTCTATGAAACATGCCAGACCTGTTGCAATAGTATATGTCCCAAAGGCCCAGCACTGTGTTTCCCCAAAGACAGACTAAATGGTGCTCTGGACTTTGGCGTGGGTGGCGACCCCACAGCTCTTCCCCAATGCTCCCAGGGGAGGCCTAGCTGGAAGAAGCCCAGGGGAAGAGGGAGTGCATGAGAACCGAGGGAGGTTGGGATCCAAGAGCCTTGGGGCCTTCCGAAATTTATAGCCTTTAAGACTTTCCTGCCTACTGCAGAGCCTTCACTCTTCCTGAACAGCTTTATAGGTTGCAGCGCTCTCTCTCTCTCTCTCTCTCTCTCTCTCTCTCTCTCTCTCTCTCCCTCCTTCCCCCCTCCTCCCCTCTCTCCGGAGTCTCCAATGCTTAGCATTCACACTGCCCTTGGCACAGGAGGACAGGTAGGTGGGAAGACTGGAGGATCAGCCCCTCGTCTTGAGCTGAGTGCCTTCCGTAGGGCTGGAAGCCCAGGCATCCCCCGGCACATTACCAAATACAGTAGAAAGAAGTCAATGAACAATGCACTGACCACAGTGCATCCACCCGGTGACAGAAAAAGTAAACTGTGCTTGAACGGGCATGCCTTGGGCTGGCTAGTTCACGGTCCCCATGGCCTGGTCCTGCTTTCCTGGCTGTCTGAGACCGTAGTAGGCTTCTGCCAGCCCCTGCATTTTTGTATCTTTTTCTCATTGCGTAGCCCCCTTGTCTTTAAAAGGCTAAACTGTTCTGTACTAAATTTGGTCACGCAGCGCTCCAAGATTCCCTGGAATGTCCTCAAGTTTCAAACAGCTCTGACAGTGAGGCAGGCCCGCCCCCCTGCACAGGGATTGGCTTCTCCTTTCCGGGCTGGGCAGCTGTCCTGGCTTATTGGTCACCGCTTCTACCAGGCAAGGCTCACCAGCCTTGGGCTGCAGTGTGGCTGCTGTAACCATCACTGAGACCTGTGGCAGCACAGGCAGGGCCAGGAAGCTGCAGTCCTCAATCCACTGGGGTTCCCTCACAAGCCACTCTGCAGTCTGCTCAGCTCCTGTCCTGTCCCACTGTCCCACAAGAGCCGCAGCTCATCCTTGCCAAGATGTCCAAGGTAGCCAAGTACCGCCGGCAGGTGAGCGAGGACCCTGACATTGACAGTCTGCTGTCCACCCTGTCTCCTGAAGAAATGGAAGAGCTGGAGAAGGAGCTGGACGTGGTGGACCCAGATGGGAGCATTCCTGTGGGCCTGCGGCAGAGGAACCAGACAGACAGACAGTCCACGGGCCTGTACAACCGGGAAGCCATGCTCAACTTCTGTGAGAAGGAGACCAAGAAACTGATCCAGAGGGAGATGTCTGTGGACGTGAGTGATGCTCAGGGGTTGGCAGTGGGCTGCTTCCATGACTAAAGTGTTTCTTGCCTTAGGAGAACACTTCTCATTGGTGAGAGGTTGAGTGCTTCGGGACTTGTTATTAGCCATTAAATCAACTAATGTGTTTGCTCTTGCTCCTCCTTTCTGCTCTATAAGCAAAACCTGGATGCTACACAGTAGTACAGCATCCCACAAGGTCAGAGAGGTCCACCAGTGGACGGGAAGCTGGGCAGTGTCCATGAAGCACTCCTTGGCAAGTGGACTCCATCCTGATCCCTCGCCTTCTGTCTTGTCTGTTAAATTCGTCCATCCTGTAGTGGGGAGGGGCAAGAGGAGAGAATGACGCTGGCCCCGGGGTGGGGGCTAAACCCTTCTTAGGGCAGAAGGATTCGCTTCCCACTGAGCTCAGTGGCATCTCATGGCACACAGAGCACTTGGAGGAGCTCGGGCAGGGAGATGGGCTTCCCAAAGCAACAGGAGAACACCCAGTGTCTGCGGGCTGGATCATGTTTCTACCTGAGCTGCCGTGTTGTTTCCAGGAAAAGTGAAGTCTTTTTTTCTGCCTTTCCTTTTTCTCTCCCCCTTTCGTCCTTTTGCATGCTATAGTAGATGCTCTTATGGAGTAACTCCCCACTTGGCATTAAGTCACGTACAAACTCCCAAGGCCACTTTGCTAGGGATGGATAGATTCCAGCAGGAAATGACCGAGAAGAGAACATGGGGGTGTTCCGAGGCATTGGCCCACATGAGGATGGGCTGAAGCCAAGCTGCTTTCTGTTCTCCTGGGTGGGCATGTTTGAGCTTCCTCTGTACAAACCAAACCAGCCTCTGCTCAAGTGTGACTTTGTGGGGTTCCATTGTCCAGGGGAAGGTGTCCAGCAGACAAACTATTTTAAGTCTTTGTTGTCATTCACAGCCATGTCCCTTGTACAGTAGCCATTGTTTGTGAATTCTCACAAGAAAAAGCTTATAGCCTCAGTTCTCATCCTTTGTTGCACTGCTATGGAAACTGGGGCACTGAACTTCTGAGGGCATGTTCCTTCTCACAAAGGACAGAAGACAGGAATGCAATCAACTGAGGCTTCTGTGGACAGTGGACCGCGTGGGTAGGAAGGTGACCACGGGTCAGGTCATGCTGGTGGACAGGGCCCTGAGTTCGTAAGTCCTTGAACGTAGGGAGGGGATGGGAAGGAGGGAGAGGAGGGTCCAGGCACAAGGGTCTACCTGTCTCCACCCCCTTTAAGGCTTTTCCAAGAAGTGGGGAGAATGTGGGGAGCCAGGGCCTCAGGAACTACTGTTCTATGGGCAAAGTAGTTGCTCTGGTACATTTATGATAGTGATCAGTAAAGACCAAGACTTTTATGGGGAAAAAATGAGGGGCCCTATTATGAGGGTCTGGCAGCTCAGAGTAACTATCAGGTGACATAGAAAGAAATGAAATGCAATCAAATGCCTCTGCACTGCTGACACCCTCAGGCCCGACCCTACATGTTCTGACCCCATGGTTGCCTTGTGTTTGGGGCTTTTTTTTTTTTTTTTTTTTTTTTTTTTTTTTTTTTTGTTTTTTTTTTTTTTTTTTTTTTTTTTTTGTGGAACCGGGGATTGAACTCAGGCCCTTGGGCTTGCCTGGGAAACACTTATTCTACTGAGCCATCTCCCCAGTCCTCATGTCCAGGGCTTCTGAAGGCTGAAGTGAAATGGCACTTTTTCATTTCCTTGAGGTGCTAGGATCAAGGCCAGGGCCTTGGGCATGCTAGGCCAGTGCTTTGCCACTGAGCTATGGCCCCGGCCCTCCACCAAGCGCTCAGTCACAGAGCAGAGAGGCTGGTGACTCTCAGGCTCCCAAAACTTTCATTCTCCAGCTTTTCTTCTCTGCCTTTCAAGACTGCCTGCCTCTCCTCTCCTCTCCTCTCCTCCTTCTCCTTCCATGTCCACATTGGTTCTGCAGACACAGCCCAAGTAAGGGAAATGAGGTAAGGTGTGGGTGTGTGAGGGACATGTACCCTCAGAGTAAGGAACCACTGGGGACCATTTTCCCTCATGGAGACAGCTCTTCCCATCCACTACGCCTGCTCCAGCCGTCCACAGGCCTATGCTGTCATGGAGGCTGCCCGGAGTTTGGGGTTTATCCTGAGCAGTGGGCAGAAGCCATCTCTGTAAATCTTGGAGGATGGAAATGAACCCAGAGAGTGGGCTCTGTTGCACCATTAGCAAAATTGTGGGTGACAGGTCAAGGACTTGAATTATTAAGACCCACTGTGAGTACAGCATCTCTTGCTGTAGCTAAGTCATGAGGGCATCAGTCCCCAACTCATGGAGTTGTTGTGGAAGTAAATGGGCCCATGTAGAAAGCATGGGGCCCTCGCCAGGAGCATGGCATCTAATAAGCCCTCCATGGGCAGGTGCCATGGACTCATGAATTCATTTGAGTCTAGGACCCCAGAAATTGGTGACATGAGCTAAAGCAAATCTCTGTTCTTCCCAGCCTGCACCTTCCCTCGGTCCCCCGGGGTCTGGGAAGCCACCCCTGCCCATGAGTTAGTGGTCACAGCAAGTGAGCAAAGCCGAGGTGCTCAGTGCCCCATAGAACAGTGGCAGTGGCTCCCACTGTACCTTCCTGTACCTCGCTGCCGCTTGTGATCCCCCCACTCCCATGGCACTTCCTGTATGTCCTGCTCCTGGGCACCGACACCCCCAGGAGGCCTCCTAATGCAGCCACCTGTCTGAGCATTCCAGCCCTAGTCAACCCTCGAGACACCCCTTTTTCTTTGGTGCTGGTGATGGAATGCAGGGCCCTGAGCAAGTTAGGCAGGTGCTCTGTCTCAGAGCTGCACACCCTCAGCTGTTCCCCTTTGGTTTTCCTCCGCTTTCCTAGGCGGTTCTCTTACCCGCCTGTGTGATACTGGAAGACAAGTGCTAAAAAAAAAAGTCCTGGCACAAAGAAACACACACACACACACACACACACACACGTTTGTTGCCTGAATGCTCAGGGGCCTGGGATTTGTTTGGAGGAGGGGTTTGGCAGCACTGACCTGGACTCTGCCTCCCTTTAAAGGGGCAGGTGCTGCAGCAAAGCCTTGCGCCCAGGTCCCCTGGGATTTCTCCTTCAGCCCAAGTGGAAGATTGAACCCCCAGGGAAAGTATAGCCTGAGGCTCAGTGAAGCACCGCCAGTCTTAGGCTCAGGTTTCAGGAACCAGACTCTGGCCGGTCCACTGACTGTATGTTCTCTTTCTTTCCCAAGAGGGAAAAATCCCCTCCCACTGCTGCCCCTTCCATCTCCCTGGGGCAGTGGGCTACCGTTAGCGCCTGCAGGCAGTCTTAGCACCTGCGGGCAGCCGGGGCAGGGGCTGCTGAGCTTGGGGGAGGGAGCTTTCTTAGCTTCTCCCTAGGGGTGAATTCGAGAAGCAAACCTGAAGCACCCCACCAGGAGCCTGAGCGGCTGCAGCAGCCATCTCTACTAGTCCCTAGTGTCCCAGCAGGGGTGGGAGACCCAAGGCAGAGAGGGCCTGAGCCAGAGCTGGGTCCTAACCCTCAGAATGCCCTTTGCAGACGGGGCTGCGCTGCGGGTCGGGAGCACACCAGGCAGCATGGCTCCCTGCTTAAGGAGATTAACCCCAACTGATACATACCCAAAATAGCCCTGGAGGCCAGGGCAGAGAGGGCAGGAGAGGTGATGGGGGCCTGTTGACCCCAGGAGGCAAGAGCAGGCGTCCAGAGAGAGCTGGACAGGTGTAAAATCTCTCTGCCTCCATCCAGAATGCAGATAAGCAACTGACTGCTCTTAAACTAGATGATAGGATCTGCAGGTATTTGTCTCCAGTACTATTGCAACTCATATAACTGGGTTCTCTCCTCTCTCCTCTCTCCTTTCTCTTCTCTCTCTTCTCTTTCCTCTCTCCTCTCTCCTCCCCCCTTTGTATTTAAAGAGTTTGGGGCAAGTGGGACATAGGTGGCAGCTGCCACGTGCAGCATGGCCCCTGAGTGCCACTGGCCTTCTCATCCTTGGGACAGTAGGTATGAGTGTGGCTAAGGACAGGCCAGTGGGGGCCCTGAGATGGACAGGACTAAGGAGAATTTGTAAGAATAAAATGGGTCATCAGGGCCAGGGAGATAGCTCAGTGGCCTAAGCGTCGGCTTGGCAAGTGCAAGGTCCTGAGTTCAATCCCTGGTACAGAAAAAAAAACTCATCAGGGAGAGGGGGAAGGAGATGATTCCAAGGTGGCCCTGACTGACTGACTGACTGACTGACTGACTGACTGATGGAGGGGAGGCTGCTACCTGCACAATGGGAGGCTGGAGGCTTCAGGCTGAGGGAGGGGGTTCACTGTGGGCAGCAAGGAGAGGGCACAGTCCTAGCCTTACCTATCTGACATGGTTATTGGGTCCTCCCATGGGCCCAGAGTGGACAGAACCTTGCATGAAGTGCCCCAGGAGAAAGATGGGACCTACACCGTGTACATGTGTGTGTGTGTGTGTTGTGTGTGTGTGTGTGTGTGTGTGTGTGTGTGTATATATGTGACAGCAGGAACATCAACAAAGCACAGTGAAGAGGGAGAGGTTGAGCTGTTATATGCGTGCCTGCCAAATTGGAGAAACAGGAATTTCCGCACCTTTCACACACAGGCCTTTCCTTGGGCTGCTTTGTGTTTATTAGACTATGCTGGGCATAATCAGCAGAGAAGAGGTCTGGACCCAGAGTGTCGGTTCCCTTTGGCGACACAGAAGGCCCATAGGTGTTTGGCATCAGGCCGGGGTTTGAGTTAAGCTTTTGCCTCTTGCTGATCCAGCAAACTTGTGCAGCTTTTGCGAGAAGGAAGAACGTTAACTGTGGCGAGCCCTGTTGGTGCCAGCGGCATTGTAAGTCCCCTCTCCTCAGCAGAGCTTCTGGAGGGCCCATTTCCCGTCCGAAGCGAATGCAAAACCAACTTGGAACAAGCCAAGGAGATTGGCAGAAGGCTGGCTGCAAGTTTGAGGCCAGCCTGGGCAG